CTTGGAAGAGTAAGGTACGGATAGTGTTGTTTAAGGTACGAATGGTGCGTTCTGCGCGGCCACTATGTTGGATGGTATAGGGACAAGAGAAGCGGAAAAGTATCCCCAAGGACTCATAAAAGGTGGCTAGTGGATTGTTTCGATATTCTGTGCCATTATCACATTGTACCGCTTTGATGGTGGTTTGAAATTGATTTTAGACAAGTGCATTATATTTAACCAGATGAGAATAGGCATTAGATTTATGACGTAGGGGAAAGACCCATAAGTAGTGCGAGAAATCATCAAGTAGCATGTAAAATTTAAATCCAGTAACACTAGGAACATGGGATTTCCATAAGTCTGTATGCATTAATTGAAATGGAAACTGAGATACACGATTCGAAGATTGAAAGGGTAGACAAACATGTTTGCCTAATTGACATGCATGACAAAGAAAATCTAATTTTGATTTATTTGAGCTATCTATAGAGGAAGAGATGCCATGGAGCAAAGCAGGGCTTGGGTGTCCAAGACGGCAGTGCCATGTGGAGAGGTCAACTTTAGTGAGATGGAGTTATGTCGGGGGCAATCTTGAGAGAAAGGGTAGAGGTGTCCGTCACTACTTGATCGATGAATCACGGCTCCCGTCAATTTGTCCTTCACAGAGAAACCAGATGAGTCAAATTCAACTGAACAGTTGGAATCACGAGTAAATTGACGGACAGAGATAAGATTGTGGATGATGTGGGGTGAGACTAGAACATTGTTGAGGGAAAGGGGAGGGTTGGTTTTAAGGAGACTGTTGGCAGAGTCCGTTGTGCAAACTTTAGATTCATTTCCTACAATGATATGAGAAGGTGAATAAATATTTTAAAGAAATACATGAGATAAAGTACCTGAGTCTGCGGTGATGTGGTGAGAGGCGTTGGTGTCCATGAACATGGTTGGGTGAGAGTTCACGCTGAGATTTTCGAGGCTCTAGGTAAGGGCAGTGGGTGAGTTGGGGTTCGGGTAAGTGGGTGGGTAGGGTTGGATGGGGGCAGGGGGTTGTGAGTAAGGGTGTGGGTGAAGCTAGGAAGAGTTTGGGTAGGTGGTGGGGTGGTACGGGTTGGGTTGCGGCGGTGGGTAATATGGGTATGGGTTTGGGTTTGGGTAGTTAGCCAAGTGGGCCTGAGCTGGGTAAGGGGAGTAGGGCCGTGGGCCGAGTAGGCCGGGTGAAGGGGTAGGGAACTGCCAGGGTTTTGGGCCAACGGGTTGTCGTTGATTCGGACCGCTACGACCACGACCACGGAGCATCCACTCCATCAAGATAGTCCACTAGATTTTTGCGAAGATGACAGTATTCATTGATTGTCATGTTGCCTTTGACAGTCGTGCAGAATCGATGCTCCAACTGCATCGCCCAAGCATGTTTATTGTCATGGAATAATTTGTAGATCGCCTTCCATAGAGCATAGGCAGACGGACTGCTGGGAAAAACAAGATCTGAGACTTCGTCAGAGACTGTGGATAAGATCCACCCTTGAAGGAGGGCATCAAACTGATACCATTCGACGTCGTCAGCGGAGGAGGCGACGGTGGTGCCGTCAAGAAATCCCATGAGATTGAAGCGAAGGACGAGAAAACGAAAGAGCTTGCTCCACTTCTTGTAGTTGGGTTCAAAAATACAGAGTTGAACAGAGATATGAAGTTTGATATTAGAGATTGTTGTGAAGGCAATGCAAGGAGATTTGGAGGAGTTGTTATTATCAGAGGAGACAGAGGAGATTTCGACCATGGTGATTGCCGGTGAATGGGATCAGTGAGGAGGAGATGGTCGAACACAGGGGGGTTGGATGACAATAGAGAGGGGAGCTGAGAGAAATTAGGGCTCTGATACCATGAAGAACTCGTACGGTAAAGATTGAGAGGGCCGAGAGAGAGGTGAACCACATTAAAAGATTGAATCCAATCAATTCGTTAGTTCAACTCAAGAGCTTATATACCGATTATTTTACTCTTGAACTTTCGCTGAGGGATTCACTCTAACACTCCCTCCTTAAGGGGACAATCGGACCATTTTCAATGTAACCGGTTGACCACTTACAAATGAACTCACATTCCCTTGATGTTTAATGAGCGCCAACACCTAAAGGATCATGAGCCGCTGGGTATGGACTTTGAGACGAGCTATATATCATGTTAAACGTGCCACAGGCCGTTGAGTACATACTCCATACGAACAACTGGGATAAAGACTAACAGGCTGCTAAGATTGAACGTCTAAACGGACACCTTAACAAACAAGGAGGGCCAAAACTGCTCTGATACCATGAAGAATAACTAATTTCCAATGATAACCAATGTGTTGATCCAAGAGTTTATATAGAAGGGTTTTCCTAGTCATGTTAGGAAACCAAGTTAATGTAGCCTATACAAGTATGGTGGTAACTACTATATACATATAATATTAAATATATAAAGAATATATTTAACAATTGCCCTTTAGCAAATGTTGCATGGTGGTCAGGGGAGTGTGGTTTCAACAGCAGACCATGGCATTGTCTACGGCGGAGTGTCGAATGGCAGCCATGAATCTAGCAGTTTGGGAGAACAGAGTCCAGACGCCTGCTTGCATTGCCAGGTGGGTTCGCAGTTGGTGTCAGGCGTGGGATATTTGGGCCACTAACATGAGGAGCACGCCTGTTGTCTAATGCGTGCAAAGACAAGGCAACAAAGGCTTACGATGTTTTGTAGATGCCACACTTTCTTTCTTTTCAAAATGTGGGGTTTGATTGTGTGCGTTTCCTTTCGAAGGAGGAGTTCCACGCAACTATTAATGGGAGGCTTTATTGTTCTATAGACTCACCGTTGGAAGAGATGATGGCTCATAAGGAAGCATTGTCAAGGTTAAAGAGCAAAAGGA